TTTATAGCAATTAAAACGGCAATCAAATGTTTAGTTGAGGCGGTTGGATTAGCTTTAATGTTTTAAAGCAGGAAGTAGTAATTATTACTCAGGCTTTACGTTTTTCTCACACACATTTTAAAATTTATTGTTTAAAAAGAATTTCTCTTGCAATATGCTATAATTAAGTCGTGGAATAAACATATTTATGATCTCATAAATGCCTACAACAGAAGATTCTATAGCGAACTATTCTTAAGTTTACGACGTACCGACAAAAGGCTGTTAGACGAAAATGGATATTTTGTTGCAGCATTTCTATTTTACCGTTTTATTGTTTTCGGGCTTAATGAATCTAAAAATAAAATTTTGTTTTACGTGGTCGGTTTTATTGCCTCTGATTTCAATACAATGTTTTCAATTAAACCCACTCGTTTGAAAAGGAAGAGAGTCAGTATATTTGTGATCATATCCCAGACGGCCCCCACCATCTAATTTGATAGACCACAAATCCTCGCGAAAGAACATCGATTCCTACCAAGGATGATACGTGAGGCTATCGAAAATAAAAAAAAAACATTCTAATTTCAATAGAGAAGGGTTCTAGGTACTCACCTGCTTGAGACCCCGTAATTAATAAAATTAAAACTAAACCCAAGAATACCACTGCAAGACTTGAAGACACAGTAACTTCATTCTGCGTAGATCACACCATAAATAATAATTAAAAAGCTGAAGGTACTCCGGGTTAACACTGAAATCGGGACGTTAGTTACCTCAGTCCCCCGTCACCATGGGTGCAGTAAAGCACCCGAAACGTCGGGAATTAAAAATTAAAAGCGATAAAATCCGTAAAAATTGTTTTAATCGGAGTCAGTATAGTTAGTCTATATTTTGTATTTTTACATGGTAAAGACATACTGCACCTGCATTATGGTTAATAGCAGGAAAGGGTCAGCTCAACCGCAAAGGGATCGCCTTAGATTATTGATAGGTCTTCGCGCGCTCAGACCTATCAATATTCTAAGGGGATTGCGCTCTCGCATAATACATGCGTAAAATAAGAGCTTAATGTTGCTGTGTTACGTATAGTGTGTGTAGATAACTGAAGACCCTTTTTACTGGAAACGGGGAATTCCTTCTTAGTCCTCAGAGGTGACAACGCATCTGCATAATGATTTCTTATATTTACGTGAACTTTACACATTTAAATAGTACTAATTTTTACGGATTTTATCGCGTTTATTAAACTTTTTTATATACCCGACCTTTCGAGCAATTTAACAGCACCCATGGTCACGGGGAAGACCCCCGCTGTAAAGTATTATTTAAACGCATCTGCATTTTATTGAGGAAAAATATGAAGATTTCTATGGGCCACAGCATTCATTTTAGCCCATTCTATAAAAAAGGATATTTAACATAGTTGCCACGCTAGACAGATGGGAGTATGCTTACAAAGTTTACAACTTTTTTTTTTCAATTCTTAACCAGTGCTTAACTTTAATCGTACCTGATCGTAAGTGTTAATATAGCTTAAGATGTTGCGTTCGTGAAGCGCACTGACTTTTTTTGTAGACACCCCTCCCGACACTGTAATCTGATGGAAAGACAGATGCTGGCAGCTTTTTTCCACTCCTATGCTGTACGCATGACGAACGACGTAAACCGTTTGGTTCGAATGCGTGGTAAGCAAAACGAAAGGGTGGAGACTGGCCGAACGTCGATGGCGTAAGGCCATAAGTTAGGTTAATACTCTTACTTACTTACTCATAAAAATGGACGTCAATTTAAGAAATTCTCAAAGTTGATCTCTCTGTCTCTCTCTTTCTTCTTATTTCATTAAAAATATTAGACAGGGGAAGGTATAGAGATAATTCATAGACTTAGAATATACCTAAGTCTATGGAGTCAGTGGATCAACAGTTTTAGCAATTTATAATTACATTCAAAAAATACATAATATAATTAACGATAAAAAATATGCTATAGGAATACTACTAGATATGCATACGATACAGTGCAATATAACATATTACTAAATAAATTATATGACATAGGAATCAGAGGCCCGTGCTACTACAATCTGTTAAAATCATATTTACACAATAGAACTCAAATAGTAGAAATTGAGTATTTTAATGACAAATTACGTAAAATTGAAAAAATTAGATCTGATACTAAAACTATTAATGCCTCAATACCTCAAAGCAGCGTGCTGGGGTTTCTTCTGTTTTTAATTTACATTAATGACTTTGCAGAGGCTCTGAAGGAGTACAATCAATATCAAGCCAAAGTCCAATGAATCTAACGGAAAAAATTAACAACATATTATTAAGAACAACGGACTGGCTAACTAAACACAACATGCGGATAAACTTATCGAAAACTAAAATAATGTCTTTTCACCCATATCAAAAACCAAAATTAGATATAAAAATAGATAATGACGGTTTCACTATAGATACAGTTAACGAGCAAACACTACTAGGCCTAATAATAGATACCCATATTACTTGGAAACCTCATATAGAAAAATTACATAGGAAGTTAAGCAGCTTTATGTACGCGTTACGAGAAGTAAAAAAAAAACAACAGATGTAACCACCGCGATAACAACCTACTACGCGTATGCACATGCATGGCTCAGCTACGGCATTGTCCTATGGGGATGCAGTACTGATGCCTCAAGTTTATTAACTAAACAAAAAAACTAATACGAATCATAGCTAAGATACAAAACATAGAAAGCTTTAAGCCTTAACTTTAAGAAGTATAACATTTTGAGCCTGCCCTGTATCTATATTTTGGAACTATGCAAATTTGTCAAAAAAAAATCCAAGCTTGTACACAAAACGAGATGACATCATATCTAGGAATCTAAGACAGAGAAACAAACTAGTGCTACCAACCTCAAAACTAAAATCTCATTCTTCCAGCCCATTTGCCATGTCTATAAAAGTATATAACAAATTACCCGAATATATAAAAAACATTAAAGACGAAAAACCATTTGTAAAAATATTAAAGCAACTACTTATTAACAAGTATTATTATAGTACTTCTGAATTTTTAGAAGATAAAAATATAATATAATATAGATATGTAAATATAAATATGTTAAGTAATAATGAAATGCCATTCTAAATTTAGTGTGTGTATGTTTATATAATATAATGAATGTTAATATTAAATAATTATTTAACAATAATAATAATAAAACAAAATAAATGTTCCTCCTTCATAATATTGATATGCCCATCAGGGTCTATAGAGATACAATAAAACTATGTAACACCTTTTGTAACCTATGGAATGCAATAAAGTTATTGAGTATTGAGATAATTAAATTAAACGATTATACGTAAGGCCTTAAAATCGTACATTTTCCAAAACATAAGCGATTCCCTCTAAACAATTTTATTTACAGTAAGTGGATTCTGTTGGCGTAGATTACATGCTTTTAAGCTCTGATCATGAATCTTTAGATTTAGTCAGAGTTATCTATAAATTTAAGTACTGTCTCCATGGAAAATTCAGCCACTGTTAGAACTAAAGGTTTTGTAAGAGACTCAATGAGGAGTATCGTTTTGAGTAGACCATGTCTTCTAGTACAACAATTTCTAATCAAGCTGGTTTAGGATTGGACGAGGGCAGCCAGTCTTTAGGTATTGTTAAGTCCTAAACATTGTTCCTGAGTTAGCTTTTGAGTTGTTCGTGCTCTGTGACCAGTAGCTGAGTCTCGCTAGAAAATCCACGACACAGTTTTGAAAAGTGTATTCTTCACCAACTTTGTACATGGTAGAGCCATGCTGCAGTTATAATAGTAGTATAGTTGTAGCACTAATGGCTCGGCTCGGCCGGGGAAGGACCACGCTCTCACAGAATACCAGCTTAAAATAGTAGCTTCACGCTGCTGTATTTCGTATGGTGAGTGTAGAGAAACGGAGACCCTTTTTACTGGAAACGAGGCATTCAATCTTAGTCCTCACGGGTGGCAACGCATCTGCATTTTGATTCGTAATCGAGGATAGATGTAGATGTCTATGGGCCACAGCAACCACTTACCATCAGGTGGACTGTGTGCTCGTTTGTCACCCTATCCTATAAAAAACTACAAATTGCTATTGCTTATATCATCTGCATTAGACGCGAAAGTCGTTAATGAATTACTCCACGGTTGAATTCAATACCGTACTTTCACTAAAATTAAGCTTTTGTGACTGCTTGGTTTAGATCCTCAACCTTAAACATTTCCAACAAGTTGCAAGGCCCTTTACAGATGAAAGCGTAGAATTTGTCATTTTGCTTGTTGTAATGCTCTTCAATAGTAAAAGATTGTTTATCTATACTTCTTTAGCAGATTTCTAAGTCTTCCATTTTCATATCGGAACAGCTAGAATTGTGATCGCTCTTTACCGTATGGTCCCTGCAGCTTAAGGGTATGCTTTCTAGTTTGGATATCCTGTGATCTGTGATCCCATGATTGGCAATTACTCGTCTGGGCTGGATATTTTCGTTTAACATAATTTTGAAGCCGTGGTAGCTCAGATGGTTAGCGCTCGCTGTAAATTCACATTACGCGAGCAGCCCGGGTTCGATACCCGCCGGCACCAAATAAAATTGTTAATTGCAATTTTAAGTGCTGATTTACCACGTACTCGGCGGTGAAGGAAAACATTGTGAAGAAACTGCATGTATGAGAAATGAAAAAAATATTTCGAAGACATGTGAAGATCGTCAACACGCGTTGGGGCAGCACGGCGGACACTTCCTCGCCCTAAAACCCTCTCAGAAATAGAGAGATGGCCTGTGCCCAGCAGTGGGATGTACATAGGCTGTAGCTAACTTTATATCGATCGCGATAAGATTTTTATAGTTTCTCCCATAGTCACTTTGATAACGGTCCGAAATGCCTTGATAGATTCCCTTACAGTCACCACATCGAAAATGGCATGTACTGTATCTATTATATAAGGGTAAAGAATCCAGCATAAGTGTACTTTTATTTTTATTTTTAGGGGATTACCTCAGGGACAAATACGAAGGCGCCACAGAGGTGAAAGTGTCCAGACGAGGAAAGCTACGCCTGAACAATCCGCATTACAGCTTACCGACGGCTCACGATTTGGTATACTTAGAAGAATCACCTAACTACTGTGTAAAAAATGAAACGCTTGTAAGTAATTAAAATAATAATAAAGCACAAAATGTTCACTATGTCCCGATATTTCTCTTATCCATCAATATTATACCAAAGTCACACACAAACACAGACACAAAGCCTTAACACTCTACACATGCCCACTAATACACTTCACATGCTCCAAAAAGCCACCATCCTCAACACTTGTCACATCACCCGAAAATTTCTGACTTCCTCTACTCTATCATCTACTTTTACGAGGGTGGATTGAAAAGTACTCGGCCTAACACAGATCCATTCAATTCTAAAAATCAAATCTACCCACATTATTTAGTTCAGTTTAGACTAGTTCATTGTGTGAAGTTCGAAACGTGTGCGATAATTAGTTGTGATTTTATAAATTTATTAACAAAGTAATCGGACATAATTTCCGCGAATGGAGCAAATCGAGCAGCGTGCCGTCATTAAGCACCTCCATAAGAAGGGGCTATCATCAAAAGCCATCCATGATGACATGGTCAGTACATTAGGCGATTGTGCTCTGTCATATTCATCCGTCAAAAATGGATAGCAGAATTTAAGCGTGGTAGAGAGATTGTGAAAGATGAACCCCGCTCTGGAAGGCCTTCGACGTCAACTACTGACGAAAATATTAAAAAAGTACTTGATTTAATAATGGGAGACCGCAGATTAAAAATTAGAGAGATAGCCGAGATTATAGGCATCTCTTATGAACAAACTCAAAACATCATTGTCAACGAGTTGGGTTTCCACAAGGTGTCTGCGAGGTGGGTTCCGCGACTGCTTTCAGTTGAACAAAAAAGGACGCGATTGACTATTTCACGCGACTGTTTGGAGTTATTTGAAGCCGATGCATATGATTTTTTGAATCGTTTTGTTACTATGGACGAAACATGGGTTCATTACTGTACACCGGAAACAAAACAATAATCAAAACAGTGGAGAAGACCTGGTTCACCACCCCTAAAAAGGCTAAGTCGATTTTGTCGGCAAATAAGGTGATGGCTTCAGTATTCTGGGACTCAAAGGTGTGATTATGATTGATTATCTTGAAAGGGGTCAGACTATAAACTCTGATTACTACTGCACCTTACTACGTCGTTTACGAGAGGAAATAAAAGAAAACGTCGAGGAATGCTCAGAAGAAAAGTCCTGTTTCATCAAGATAACGCCCGTGTTCACACGTCAGTACAGTCAATGGCTGAAATTCACAACTGTGGCTTTGAACTGTTACCGCATCCACCGTATTCACCTGATCTGGCACCATCAGACTTCTTTCTGTTCCCTAACCTAAAAAAGCACTTGGGAGGTCAAAGATTTTCGACAAACGACGAGGTCAAAGCAGCTGTAGACGCATATTTTGACTCTAAGGAAGAATCTTTATTTTTCAACGGTCTAAATGCTTGGAAGGGGCAAAGTGGCAAAAGTGTATTGAACTTGATGGTGATTATGTAGAAAAATAAAAATATAACTGATTTAGTATGTGTTTATTTTCTTGGTTAGGCCGAGTACTTTTCAATCCACCCTCGTACAATTTAAATTTCCCTCACACAGTTGGCTTCAGCCCGTGTGTGTGTGGTGTTTGAAACTCTTAAACAAGAGAAGAAATATAAAGAATTCATATAATAATAATAATAATAATGGTTGGGCTTTTATTTATTTATGTTAGTATATATATATATATATATATATATATATATATATATATATATATATATATTTACATATATTTAAAATTTCCTTTCTTATATTTATTCAGCCCAACCAGATGGGAATACTCTATTAATACTCCTACTCACCCCAAACAAAATTATATTTAGAGTTATGGGTAGCAGATAAGTAGTACATAACAACTTTGCCTGTGCATCGCTGGTGCCTAAGATAGGTATGATACCCGTATCATCATACATAATGAAATAACTGTCTATGGTTACAAAAAACTTAAAGAAAAGTGTGTGTGTGTGTGTGTGTGTGATATTAAGGGGTTGATTCGCATCATATTATGATATCTTATACAATTTTATTAAATTTTTGTACCTACTCTACGTGGCAACTATGGCAAATACCCCCCAATGAATAAATACACAAACAGACGGCCCCCAGTCCCCGGCGGCCCCGCTATTCCTGGCTACGGTGGCGACCATGGTAACGGCGGGGCAGGGGGTGCTAAGAATCTCCGGTGGAGGTTCGGTTGCCACCTACGACGACTCGACCTGGCAACATATAACGCACGCACCCTGAGGACTGACGAGAAGATACTGGAGCTGGAAGAAGAGGTAGACAAGTTGCGCTGGCATATTATTGGATTATCCGAGGTCCGAAGTGAGGGGGAGGACACGGCAATCCTCGAGTCCGGCAACTTGTTCTATCACCGGGAGGGCGACCATCTGTCCCAAGGAGGTGTCGGATTTATCGTCCACAAATCTCTCGTCAACAACGTTGTAAAGATTGGGAGTGTGTCGACGAGGGTCGCGTACCTGATACTCAGAATCACCAAACGGTATTCGCTGAAGGTCATTCAGGTTTACGCACCAACCTCGGCACATCCCGATGAGGAGGTGGAGGAAATGTATGAGGATATTTCCAGAGCCATACATTCCTCCAAAACCTACTACACGGTGTTGATGGGAGACTTCAACGCAAAACTGGGCACAAGAGAAAGCGGTGAGCTGAAGGTAGGGAAATTTGGAGTAGGGCAACGGAACCGAAGGGGCCAGCAGCTGGCCGACTTTATGGAGAAAGAGGGACTCTTTATGATGAACTCTTTCTTCCAGAAGCGGCCCCACAGGAAGTGGACCTGGTCGAGCCCCGACGGTTCGACAAAAAATGAGATTGACTTCATTATGACGACCAGACGCCAACTGTTCAGTGATGTCTCAGTGATCGCAAGGGTGAAAACTGGCAGCGATCACCGAATGGTTAGAGGCACATTGAACCTAAACGTTAAGTTGGAGAGGTCTCGTCTAATGAAGTCAACGCTCCGTCCCCCTCGTGCTCTAATCCAGAATCCCGAAACCTTTCAGCTCGAGTTACGTAACCGCTTCCAGTGCCTAGAAGATTGCAATGCAGTGGACGATATGAACGACAAGCTCGTGGAAACTGTCCATGCGGTCGGAGCTAAGTTCTGCAAGACCCGCCGCAGAAGAACACAAAAACTCTCCGATCACACTCTTAATCTCATGGCTGTTAGACGGGAGATGAGGCTGCAATCGTCAACAGATTTGACAGCATACAGGCAACTGAACAGACAGATCTCCAAATGCATACGGCGAGACTTACGCAACTTTAATACTTCTCGTATTAAAGAAGCGATCGAGCGGAACCAGGGCTCCAAAGTCTTTGCCAGAGATCTGTCTGCCAGAAAGAGCCAACTGTCAAGGCTGAAGACTGAGTGTGGCAACATCGTTTCCGGGACACCTGAGATTTTGAGTGAGATTGAGAGGTTCTATGGGCAGCTGTACACATCATCGTTGGAGCCACACGTAAGTGTGAGTAACGATCCAAGAGCAAGTCTTATCCGACACTATTCCGATGATATCCCGGACGTCAGTCTAAGCGAGATTAGAATGGCTCTCCAGCACCTTAAAAACGGCAGGGCCCCAGGCGAGGATGGAATTACAGCGGAGCTTCTGAAAGCGGGTGGAACACCGGTACTTGAAGTCCTTCAGAAGCTCTTCAATTCCGTCCTCCATGGTGGCACTACTCCAGAGGCGTGGAGCAGAAGTGCGGTGGTCTTGTTCTTTAAGAAAGGCGACAACGCTCTCTTAAAGAACTACAGACCGATTTCCCTTCTGAGCCGCGTCTACGTGCTGTTTTCGAGAGTCATTACGAATCGTCTCGCACGCAGACTTGACGACTTCAGCCTCCCGAACAAGCCGGTTTCCGAAAAGGCTTCAGTACCATAGACCACATACATACCCTGCGGCAGATTGTACAGAAGACTGAAGAGTACAATCTGCCACTTTGCCTGGCGTATGTGGACTATGAGAAAGCCTTTGATTCCGTCGAAATTTGGGCGGTGCTACAGTCCCTTCAGCGGTGCCAAGTTGACTGTCGGTATATCGAAGTGCTGAAGTGTTTGTACAGTAGGGCTACGATGGCTATCCGAGTACAGAACCAGAGCTCGAAAGCTATCCAACTGCAGAGAGGTGTAAGACAGGGTGACGTTATATCCCCGAAACTCTTAACCGCTGCATTGGAAGAAGTTTTCAAGCTACTGGACTGGAAAGGATACGGTATTGACATCAATGGCGAGTACATCACTCACCTTCGATTTGCCGACGATATAGTCCTTATGGCAGAATCGCTGGAGGACTTAAGCACTATGCTCAATGACCTCAATAGTGCCTCCCAACGGATAGGTCTTAAGATGAACATGGACAAAACAAAGATCATGTTCAATGTCCATGTCACACCTATGCCGGTAGTTGTTGGGAGCACTATGCTCGAAGTTGTTGACGAATACGTTTACCTGGGACAAATAGTCCGACTAGGTAAGTCCAACTTCGACCGAGAGGTCAATCGACGGATTCAACTCGGCTGGGCAGCGTTCGGGAAATTACGGCATATCTTTTCGTCAGGTATACCTCAATCTCTAAAAACTAGATTGTACAACCAGTGCGTGTTGCCAGTGATGACTTACGGATCTGAAACGTGGTCCTTCACTGCTGGCCGTATGAGGACGCTTAAGGTCGCTCAGCGAGCTATGGAGAGGGCTATGCTCGGAGTTTCTCTGCGTGATAGACTCAGAAATGAGGATATCCGCAGTAAAACCAGAGTGACCGACATAGCCCAACGGATTAGTAAGCTGAAGTGGCAATGGGCCGGCCATATAGCTCGAAGAACCGATAACCGATGGGAAAGAAAGGTTCTCGAGTGGCAGCCTCGTACCGGTAGGCGTAGTGTAGGGCGACCCCCACTAGATGGAGTGACGACCTGATAAGACATGCAGGAAGTCGATGGATGCAGGTGGCTCAGGACCGTGCTTTGTGGCATTACTTGGGGGAGGCCTATGTTCAGCAGTGGACTTGTGAAGGGCTGTAATGATGATGATGATGATGACCTACTCTTGCGTATCTAAATCACACTTAACCTTACCTTTAAGACAATTTCCGATAAGGGAAAGGCTAAATATTTTTTTATAGCATAAGGGTAACAAACTAGAACACAGTCCACCTGAAGGTAAGTGGATACTGTAGCCCATAGACATCTACATATTTTATGCTCGATTAAAAATCAAAATGCAAATGCGTTGTCACCCCAGAGGACTAAAATGGAATGCCTTGTATCCAGTAAAAAGGGTCTCCGGTTCTCTACACTCACTATACGAAACACATTATGCTACTATTTTACGCTGGTTTACTGTGAGAGCGTGGTTCTTCCCCGGTCGAGCCAACCAATTCGTTCTACAATCATAATAAAACTGTAGCGTGGCCTCTACCACGTTATAAATGATTTTAGGACGTGAGTATTTTTTATATTATCCTCCAGCATACCTTTATTGACATCAAATTGATATTAATGTTGTAGTACATTGTGTGTTCTATATTATATCTTTTCTAAATTAGCTAGCAAGGCTCATACGACTTACTGTATACCCGTGCAGTTAAAGATTGGGATTGAAAATGGCGTCGCCTCTATTCACCTCTCGCTCGCACACGCGATCTACGTTTTTCGTACGATCTATAATTTCAGTCCGAATTGTCGTTATCATCAATGATAACAAAATGCCATAAACTACAAAAAAAATTCAGTCACTATACGGTCACTTATAAATCATCATCATTACAATCCACTGCTGAACATAGGCCTCCTCCAAGGTATGCCACAAAACACGGCCCTGAGCCACCTGCATCCATCGACTTCCTGCGTGTCTTACCAGGTCGACACTTCATCTAGTGGGCAGTCGCCGTACAGTTCGCCTACCGATACGAGACTGCTACTCGAGAACCTTTTTCTCCATCGGTTGTCGGTTATTCGAGCTATATGGCCGGCCTATTGCCACTTCAGCTTACTAATTAATTTATTATTATAAATCATACACATTCTTATTTAAATTACAGGGTTCCTTAGGTACGACAGGGCGGGAATGTAACAGAACATCAGCTGGTATGGACGGCTGCTCTCTGATGTGCTGCGGCAGAGGTTATAATACGAAGAAGATGGTGATCAGAGAGCGTTGTGAGTGTAAGTTCCACTGGTGCTGCCGTGTCGACTGTAATACATGTGTTCGAACCGTTGAATTTCACACTTGTAAATAGTTTGTATTTTGTGCCAAATATTAATTATATACAGATTAACAAACACAGATTATAGTATAGTGTAACAAAAAAATAAAACTATAATATTAATACGCATATTAAAAATCAAATGAATTTACATGCAAAATCTCAATGTCATAAGACCCAATATTCTTTACCGATATCAATTAACACAGCGTTCTTTTAAAATTTAAAAAAAAAGGTATTAAAACAGGTAGCTCAAATTGCCTAAAGGTTTTTCCTTTAACTAAGGTCAATATTTTTGTATATTCCCATTTTATGAGTAATTTAATACGTTTAAACAACATAAATAAATAAACAATTTTTTCGGCAGGATATAGATCAAAATATGTTCAGAGAAACGAACTTGTATCTGAGTACTCACTTGATATTATGCACGCTAATTTTTTTCACTTCGTTTACCTTAAGTGTGGATTTTTTAAATAAAATTAATTTATCATTGTGTATATACTTAATAAATATATACTTAATGTTTCATAGCACTCGTAAATGTTTTCCTAAATGTCTCCTACAATTAGTCAAACTTAATTTTATGATAATTTCATCATTATCAGAAAATAACTCATATTTTTTGTAATTTGTACAGGGCGTTAATTTAAAATCTTTGACCGCAACATTTGCTATTACATATTCAATTTAACAACTACATAAATCCAAACATCAACAATGATATAAAAAGGTAGCCATGCGCATGTTATGCACAATTAGTTCAGTGTCATTAGAACTTTTAGACCCCCGAGACTAATCAAATAACTATAAAAAATCATCGAACTATATTACTTACGTAGTAGTAATACCTCAATGCAAAAAATACACCTTTTTATTCTCAATGTACATTTTATCTTCTCATGATTAGTGGACAGAAAATATTTCATTTTATGTTATCCTTTTCATATTCAGAACGTTGTCTTATTTTTATAACACCATTGCAGCTTAACAATTGTTCAATCAACCAGAGTTACTATCACGCATATTTATTTTTTCAAATATAGGTACCTATAATTAAATTTGCCCACCAACATGTTAAAATTTAAATGCATAATATGTAAATACTTCATTGGAAATAAGATTAAAGTAGAGGGTAACATATTTTAAGATTAATGTTATGTATATTTTGATGTGTAGTAAATTTTAATCGTGAATATATAAAACTGAAATAGCTGCAGTTTATAATATTTAATCTTAATATGAACGCTGTATAGAGTATCTAAGTTAATCGAATAAAATATTATATAATTCTTTCTTTTTTTTATTTATAAATATTAAGAACATTAGTATAAAATATTTCACATCCGATTACTTCACCGATTCCTTAGCTGCTTCCATCTTTACCTGCTCAACGAACCACCACGATGTCGCCATGCGGAGACCACATTGTTAGGACTACATAGACAACAGCAGCCAAGTTTTGACCACGGCTTAGAGATTTCTAGTTAGACCGTTAAGCCAGTCCCTAAAAGGTGGGATTTAGTGGGTAAAAGTCTCCACATAACCATGCAGCGTGGTATGCTATGAGCATTCCCCACCTCCCTCCCCCGTTTTCCGGAGGGTTGCCCATATTTGCTTCGGGCGCAAAAAAAAAAGTTTCGACCACGGAGTGGAGCTAGAAATACGCATCGAAATGTGTGTCCATTATGTAATGTTTCTGTGGCGTCGATCCCCTAGTGACGCGTTTCCTATAGACAGGTTCTGCTAAGCTATACACCTTACCCTAGGCGGCTATAACGCCTTAATCAGTTTTAGCCTTAGTTTTTTTTTTGTATTTTATTTTGTTATGGAAACTAAAATTTTTTTCTAACCATAGACTTATACGGCAGTTTATTCTAAGTCCATGCTTTTAAAATGGGCAAATGATCACAAATAATAATTAAAACCAAAAAGACTGCCTCGTTGGTCTAGTGGTTGTAGTAGTGCGACTACTGATCATGAGGTGCTGGGTTCGAATCCCGGGTCGGGCCAAAAATCAATTATTGAGTTTTTCTGTTAAGAAATTCTCAGTAGCTGCCCGGAGTCAGGAAGTTGGCGGTGTCTCACCCCCGTGCACGTAAAGCCGTTGGTCCTGCGCCTGATCTCTCTCCGGTCGTGTCGGTTTACCGTCCCATCGGATTATGAGAGTGAGGGAATAGAGAGTGCACCTGTGCTTGCGCATACACTTACTGACATTATTATTATTATTATTAAACAAAATGGTAATTTCTTACCAATCGATAAAGATTATCTTAACATTATACAAATTATCGATATTTTTTACATCTGAACCAATACTTATTTTTTGAACAATAGTCATATTAAGCCGTAAAATAAATTTATAAAACATGTTTTATACATTGTTTTAGCGGTCAGCCGCAGCAGTCACGTCAGAATAATAATGGGATCAAAATATACTTCACCTGAAGATACCTTGCTTAGAGGTGAATTAATTGACGTGTATAATCGACGATGGCGTTCTTAGTCGTGATGTTGTAGGGCTAGTGCACGCAATTAAGGGAGGTGCTACTCCTGTGTCGATCGCGATTGATCGAATCTTTTTGATTCGGTTCCAACTTGCAACCTGTACACGAGTGATCGAATCATGGATCTCTAAAAGATTCCATCTTATTTGACCCGATTTCAAGGTAACAAGACAAACCAAATACTACTTTTTTTGCATTGTTTAGATACATATAATCGATCGTTTATATACAACTAAACCAATAAACAAATCGTAGTATTATTAATATCATTCATATTCAGCATTCTTCATTCAGTCATTCAAAGTATACAAACGAGCTGCGACCCAAATGATCGAAACGATCGAATCATTTTAACCCGATCCACATACGAGTGGGTCATGATCGACCGAGGTCACGAGAAATGATCGATCGACACAGGTCTAGGAGGTGCTCTTCAGACTACGTAAGATACACCATTTTATCATTTTACACAAATATTAGTTAATATATACGTGTAGTAGTATATAGCTATTTATACGTGGTAGTGCCATGCTGCAGTTATATTAGTAGTATAGTACGAATGGATCGGCTCGACCGGGAAAGGACCACGCTCTCACAGAATACCAGCGTAAAATAGTAGCATAATGCTGCTGTGTTTCGTATGGTGAGTGTAGAAAACCGGAGACCCTTTTTACTGGAAACGAGGCATTCCATCTTAGTCCTCACGGGTGACAACGCATCTGCATTTTGATTTGTAATCGAGGATAGATGTAGATGTCTATGGGCCGCAGCAACCACTTACCATCAGGTGGACTGCGAGCTCGTTTGTCACCCTATCCTATAAAAATAAAAAAAATAAGTTTTTAACGTCTAATGAAACTTGTTTTTCTGATTGAGGCTTTACTGGGTACACAGATATATCATTTTTGCGTAAATTTCACATTGGGAGACTATAGTCGAGGGGCAAGTAAATATGAATCACAGAATTCTAATTAATGAGGTACTAGATTTCTGTAGTATGAGTAGACAGTATATAGAGTCAGACTCAGTATATAGATCGTTACTCACACTTGTGTTTCTCTGTGTGATAGACTCAGAAATGAGGATATCCGCAGTAAAACCAGAGTGACCGACATAGCCCAATGGATTAGTAAGCTGAAGTGGCAATGGGCCGGCCATATAGCTCGAAGAACCGATAACCGATGGGGAAGAAAGGTTCTCGAGTGGCAGCCTCGTACCGGTAGGCGTAGTGTAGGGCGACCCCCCCCACTAGATGGAGTGACGACCTGGTAAGACATGCAGGAAGTCGATGGATGCAGGTGGCTCAGGACCGTGCTTTGTGGCATTACTTGGGGGAGACCTATGTTCAGCAGTGGACTTGTGAAGGGCTGTAATGATGATGATGATGATGAGTAGACACATCTACACTAAAGTAACTAACTTTTCTGTCCGCAAGGATTGTTTAATCTGTGCAGTACCAGAGATCCACAATGGGTTCACAGTAGTGACTGCTTTTTATTAATTTTTAAAAAGCTTTACTTACCTCGATAAAGTAAAAAAATTAAATGTATTTTTTCTCATAACTGGTTCACTTTTGCGAAGGGACTTTTTGCTCTAATTCATCGGTAGGTCAATAGGTCTTAGAATAGTTAAATAGTAGTTATATATTTATATATTTTAAAACCTTTATTATAAGTTATATATTTTAAAACCTTTAAAATTAATAAATCGCAGTCATCGAACTAGGTATATTACCAGCGTAAACACCTCAATGATCGCAGTTGACTTTTAAAGAAATAAAAAACAAAAATTACCTTAAAAGTTTAGGTATCGCTGGTATAAACTATATATAGTATAGATATATATATATATATAGATCCCACCCGATGGTAAATGGTGATGCAGTGTAGTATGAAGCAAATATTAGAGAAAAGCACTGACTTATATTAGTTTAACAAAATCCGGCAGATAGACTGTTTTTAAATGAGATTTAAGTGTAGTAAAAGGAAACGTAACATGTTTTATAGAAAAAAAAACAGACAAAGACAACTAGTTCATTTGCGAGTATGATGTAAATATACGAGTAAGTTATATGGCAATCAGCGAGTGCATCCCTTTAATAATCTATGTAGAAGTAATAAGTAGTCGGCAAGGCATTGCTTATAAAAACATTAAATCAACGTGTAGTGGCGGTGTGAGAATACCTAATACCCCGTATCGTGGGTGTCGTAAGAGGCGACTTAAATGATAACAAACCAGATGTTCTGCAGCGACTCCTCTAATAACATGTAAAAATAAATAAACTGCGCTTTTCAAACCGCTTGCCGTGCGTGGCAACTATGGCAAACATATCCCCTTTCCCCTTTGTGCCTGTGTTCAGCGGTGGACTTGATAGGCTGGAACGCGGTAACGGTACGGTAACAGTAGCTCAAGGGACGTGGTAGCTCAGATGGTTAGCGCTCGCTGT